ACCAATAACGATCTTGAGAGAGTCGGGGGCCTAAAAGATCTGACGAAGCTCATATTGACGATGTTTATCATCATCATCATCAGGTGCCTTGCCGACTGGCGTGGGCGATCATGCCTCTCTATAATCCTGTTTATGTATACAATCAAATATAAATGTTTTCGCCAAATAACCAAGTTTACATAAAATAAAAATAAAAGGTATCGCCACCGAGTCAGAATACTATATATTAAAAAAAAAAAAAAATAAACAAATAATAAATGGTAAAAACACTAAATCAGATTACTGCATAGAGTAAATAATAAAAGGTAATAAGCCTAAACTACGTTAGTGCATCAAATAAACAATATGTGGTTTCACCATTGAATTGGGTTCTGCATAAAATCAACAGTCATTCGTTTCACCACTGAATCAGGTTACTCTATACAATAAATTCTAAATGTTTTTAAATAATTCTGATACAAGCAATACATTGCACAATTTATTGCCAGGCATATTTTGCTGTATCTCATCAGGTGCGTTACTACAGAGTTACATCAGCATAAAATAAAGCACAAAACTGAATAAATTCAACTGAAACGCGAATCGTTTCTTCGATACATTGTCTCTGTTTTATGGCCGCCGGAAGCTCACCTATAAATGGTTTAAATATTCAAACAGGTTACTGTTTAGAATAAATAAAGATGCTTTCACTATTTAATCAGGTTACTGTATTGAATAAATAACAAATGATTTCGCCACGAAAAAGGTTAAAGTGTGAATAAACTAATATAATCTGTGGTTTAACCACCGAATCATATTATAGTATAATATGAATAACACATGGGTCACACATACAAACAGATTGGTGTTTAAAATCAAGAACATCTCGGCCACCCTCGGATCCAAGTCGGCCACGCTGTTCAAGACACAGAGACGGAATAAAGAGATGCTGCGGGATTTGTACCCCCAACAGGTTGCCGACAAGTAAGTTGAGTTGAGCAGTTTAAAACCTACATCCCGGTACTGCGGTAATTCCAAGAAATAGCCCGTCCCTATCTTTCTTTTTTCTGCCTTTCCAGTCCCCAATGGAGCATAGGCCCTTAATCAACTCAAGCCATGTCTGTCTATCCTTTGCTATCACATGCAGCTCTCCCCATGTCCTTCTCATCTTTCTAACTTTATTCTCCAGCTCCCTTCTCCGCGTATTTTTTTTAGCCTTCCTTTATCCCTATACCCCTGTGGGTTCCAATGAAAAGACATTCTAGTTATATAGTTCTCTGGTTTTCTCAATGTGTGTCCTATCCAATGCGCCAGCGTCCTTTCTTCACCTCTTGGTCCACTGGAGCTTGCCTGGTTCTCTCCTAAAGCCCTACATGAGTGATACTATCATACCATTTAATCCCCTCTACTCTACGCAGGCACCAGTTAATGAATTTCTGTAATTTATTAGTAATGGCCTTAGTTCTCCATGTTTCTGCTCCATACAAAAGTACTGATTTGACATTAAAACTAGCAGCCAGCTAAATAATGATGGTACCAGTTTGGTTAGCAGTCTGATTGTATATCCGTATTGCCTTTCCTTTAAATGTTGAGTGTCGGCCAAATCTTCTGGCTAAACCGCTTCGATTTATTCGTGCCTCCACATTGTTCATTCGCTCCTAAGAAGTCTTGACAACATAAATTTATAATGCATGAATTTACCTTTATTTTGTGCAGAACCAGTCAGACTATCTGCCTATTAGATTCCAGACACACCTGCATTTCATAGACAAAATATCAAAGTGACGTTAACGATGCTTGCCACTGTGCAGCTAGCATACATGTCTCCCCCGTTCTCACCATCTTTTATGAATCAATTACAATCACGACAATGTGTATTCATTCGATTCTCAAGCCAGCGAATGACTGCAGTGACTGCCTCCACCTCCATTCTCAAACTAGAGTTTTCTGTTATCACTTGCAAAACTGTGTTGCATTAAGGGTCGTCCACAGTGGCATCTAGGAATCTCAAATAGTCAATAAAGTGCTGGAAGAATTTTGGAAGTATGCGGTGTTAAAGAAAATGGTAAAAAAACATTATAGATATAAATAGTAATTGCAATAAAGTTCTTGTTAAAGAAAATCCATTCTATGTTACTGATCTGCCCAAAGAAGTTTAAGCTTTTCAATTTCAACCAGGCTGGTGAAAGGAGAAAACATCGACCCCGAGATATTTGAGCAAGCAACCGTCTGCTTTATTGTGATGTCAGACTTCGAGACCATCATGGCGGCCTGCTCGGGGAATGAGTCCGTGACGATCGTCAACAGGGTGTTTGATGTCATGGATGACGAGGTCCTCAAATATGACGTCTTCAAAGTGGAAACACTAGGTAATCTTGTCTATGTGTTGGGTTTCTTCTTCATCTTCTTCTTCTTCATCTTCTTCTTCTTCTTCTTCTTCTTCTTCTTCTTCTTCTTCTTCTTCTTCTTCTTCTTCTTCTTCTTCTTCTTCTTCTTCTTCTTCTTCTTCTTCTTCTTCTTCTTCTTCTTCTTCTTCTTCTTCTTCTTCTTCTTCTTCTTCTTCTTCTTCTTCTTCTTCTTCTTCTTCTTCTTCTTCTTCTTCTTCTTCTTCTTCTTCTTCTTTTTCTTCTTCTGCTGCTGCTGCTGTTGCTGTTGCTGCTGCCGCTACTGATGCTGCCGCTACTGCTGCTGTCGCTACTGCTGCTGCCGCTACTGCTGCTGCTACGACTTCTTCTTCTGTCAATGTCTGCTTTGTGCTGTTAGGCGTCGCAGTTGAAAAAAGAAGTAGGACCAGCTCCGTTGGTTTGACGTCTATAACTGCATTGGCTTTCGCAATCCATATTCTTTTAGGTTCTCCTCCGACTCTTAATATTTCAATTTTTATCTTTTACGCTTTCGCTGCTGGCACCAATTCTCACTCGGTTACCCTAACCATTTCAGTCTTTGTTTTATCAATCAGTTTAGCGACAGGTTTGGTTCCATTAGTTATCCTAATGTCGTCACTTCTCGCACGCTGTCTTCTATTTTGTTGACTTTCTTTCTCAAACATATCATTTCACATATATTAGTTGTCTCTCGGTTTAGTTAATGCTAACGACTGACACTGGTAACCTAAATGCTGTAATAACGTCTGTATTTATACGTTGTAGTTTTTTTTCCTCTTGTTGGAACAGCCGAGAGTTGCACAATTGGGGTTAGTCAGTGTTTTTGTTTAAATCATGAAGTCTTCTTAAATCTGGTGAAGCACTTAGTCTAATGTGGGCCAAAATCTGGGATGTCAGCTCCAGATCTCTTAGATTTCAACAAAGCTTTGTTGCCAGATCTACTGGGTGTGATATTTTATAGGAAGCTCCAGCAAGGGAAGAGGTCCCAGGGAGGACAGAAAAAGCGCTATAAAGACAGTCTCATAGCCGCTGTCAATTCTTTAGACATCAACACAGCGACGTGAGAGGCTGCTCCACTAGACTGTTCTGGATGGCGTACATCCTTCAGGCATGGTGCTTCAGCGAAGGTTGCACAGGCAGAGAAACGGAGGCAGACTAGAAAGAACCGAACTGCTAATCCCACACTTAAGGCGGCTTCCATCTGTTGTCCGCACTGCTCAAGAACTTTCCAGGCTCATACTGGGCTAATTAGCCACCTTCGTACCCATAATCATTGATCATTACTCAACCAATCAATCAGGTGCCGTCTCCACAATGAAGGTTGGCTGCAATGGATCTAACAAGCCCTGTCTCTTGCCCTTAATGTACACTCATTCAAACTGCTGTTCGTCCATCTCTTGATGTTATCCTCCCACTTGTAACGCTGTCTGTCTCTTGCTCGCCTACTTTGAAACTTTCCCTCTAGGATGATCTTTACAATACTGTTATGTCTTTTAATGTGGCCAAAATATTTCACTTGTTTCTTTTTTATTTTACCTAGCAACTCTCTTTTCATTCCCAATTTCCTCAGTACCTCTGTATTTGATAGCTTTTGTTTCCATGAAATACGACCTAATCTTCTGTATGTCCACATCTCCAAAGAATTGATACGATTTTTCCAGTTGATCATTACTACTTTCGATGAAAAGAAGTCTTCATCACTTGTGACGGAACGAACAATACTGGGTGTGGTCATATGTTGTTTTGCCGCTTCACCAGGAGAGGACAGTCTTTCACTGCCCCTTGAAGACTTGGCTGAAGGATTACCATCTTTAGGATGAGAACCACGCGCTAGTAAAACCAACGTAACAGCTAACATATAATAAAGGTCTCTTTTGCATGCCTTTAGGCATAATAGGAATATAGGGCTATACCTATACTTCAAAGACCATTCGATACTTAGTGGGTGATGTGTTCAATATCAAGTCGGTCGCCTTTACTTTCCTAGGACTGCACCTGATACCCACTAAAGACTGGGAGTTAAGGTCATTTTTGAAAAAAAAAAGGCTGGCTCTGTCAGGACGCAAACCAACGACCTTCCGATCAGAAGGCGGGAGTCTAGCCACAAACTCCACGGCGACTCCCAAAGTACTATATGCAGGGGATTATAAATCATGCTTACCTACATTACCTCAGTTCGAGTTTCTAGTTATTATTGCAGTATTTAAGTTTTTAGGTTTTAACAACGGATCAACATCATGGCACACGTTTAATAACCCATAAGTCTTCTACTTCTAACTCAAGTCTGAGTCTGAAGAAGCTAAACACAGTGCACAGGCTCTGTAGCATCTTCGAGGATCCTGAAATACTTTAGGTAGATTGTTAACTCCAAATTTTGCCCATGCAGCGCCGTTAGGCTACTGTTTTCGATTTCCAACTGCCAAGAGATTTTTTTCGTGCGCAACAATGCACACAGACGTTCGATCTCACTATCCAGAGACCAGGGGGAATTACTAGAAGTCAGTCCACGTGAAAAATCCCAGCTCTTACCGGGGATTGAACATGAAACCTCTAGCACTCGAGGCGGACGCAATGCCTCAAGACCAAACAGCTCCCTTGTTGTATTTAGTATAATTCTTGATACCTTTTCCAGAGGACATGTTTCTGCTGGTCTCTGGTGTTCCACAAAGGAACGGCACGGAACACGTAACAGAAATAGCTGATCTTTGCCTGAATCTGAGGACCAGAACACGTTCCGTATGTCTGGACATCCTGCCCAATGATGGTGTTAGGCTGAGATTCGGTGTTTGCACGGGTAAGTGGTTGTCATCATCATCTTCTTCTTCTTCTTCTTCTTCACTTCCTCTTTTACCGCTGTGGGTGTCGAGGGAGATATAAGGTTCTGTTTCTAGCTCTTCTGGCTGCCTCGACCATAGGCACATCGTGCTGTTGTAGAGTTTCTCTGATGTTATCCTTCCATCTTGTTCTTGGTCTACCCCGTGCTCTACGCCCTTCTTCTCTTTCCATGTATGGTTTGTATGGTATGGTGTCACAAGGCATTCTCTCTAAGTGGGCAAACCATTTCACTTGCTGTCTTTGTATGTAATCCAGAATTGGTTCTGTGCCGACTTGTTCTCTTATGATCTCATTCCTGACCTTATCTCTTATGGTCACTCCTACAGCCCTTATCAGACATCTCATTTCCATGGTTACTAGTTTTCTTTTATGGTTTGTTGTGAGTGACCATGTCTGGCACTGGTAGCACAGAGTTGGAATAAATATGCTTTGAATAAGATGTCTCTTTGTGCTGATTGGGATTGTCTTATGCTGTAAGAGGGGGGCTAGCTGTCCCAATACTTGGTTTGCTTTACTGCATCTAATGTCAATTTTTTTATCCAATTTCCCATCTTCGGTAAATGTAGTTCCCAGATATTTAAACTCAGATGCCTGTTTAATGCCTTTGTATTCTATTGCTATGTTTAGATCTGTCTTCTTTTTTCCTATTGACATTACTTCTGTCTTTTCAGTGTTGATTCTCATATTTTTTGTTTTACATTCTTCATTCATGGATGTTAGATGTTGTTGCAATTTCATGGCTGTATCTGCTATCAAGGCCTGGTCATTTGCAAAAGTAATTCGTTGATCTTGCTAAGATCTTCATTCATGGGCTTGGCATTCTTGCATATACTGTCGATGAAGGTGATAAACAGCAGTGGTGATAAGACACACCCCTGTCTTACTCCAGATGTCACTGTGAAAGGATGAGATGTTCCCTGATTTATTCTAGCTACACTTCTACAATCCCTGTATAAACTTTTGCACACTTCGATGAGGTGTTCGCTTACTCCATATCTTGCCATTATTTTCCATAATAATTGTCTGTCGACTCTGTCAAATGCCTTCTCCTGGTCTACGAATGCCACAAATAAGTTCTTATTGTATTCAATGTTCTTTTCTATTAACTGTTTAAGTGTGAAGATTGCATCTGTGCAGCTTCTATTTCTCCTAAATCCCATCTGTTCTTCTGCCAGTTGTGGTTCTATCACTGGTCTCAGTCTTGTTTCTATTATCTTGGCATACATTTTGCCAACATGGCTTAAAAGAGATATGCCTCGATATTGACCGCATTCTCGTTTGCTTCCTTTGTTCTTTCACAATGGTATAACTATTGCATGTTGCCAATCAATAGGGGCCGTTTGTTGTACCCAGGCTGCATTGAATATTCTGTGAAGCCATCTAATGCTGCTTTCACCTGCTGTTTGAATTATTTCTGTTGGTAATCTATCAGCTCCTGGTGCTTTATATTTGGGAGATTGTTTAATGAATTTTTCTATTTCATCCATTAGTATGTGTGGTTCTAACACTGTTGCTCTGTGCTCTTCAGTTGTTCTTTCCTGAGGATCTCCTAGAGGATTAAAGAGCTCATTGAAGTATTCCCTCCACCTTTCTGCTATCTCAGGTGAATCTATCAATGGCCTTCCTGTCTTATTATTTATTCAGTGGGGTTGTAGCTCTCATCTCTTTTCCGCATATTTTTAACTACTTTGAAAAATTTTCTGCTGGCTGTTTTCTCATTTTCTGCTAGTGACTCACCGAAACGTTCACAGGATGCTTGTTTTGCTTTCTTGACACTCCTGTTGGTTTCTCTCCTTTACAGTCTATAGTTTATATAATCTTCTTTTTTCTTTGATTTTATCCACTGTTTATATAAGTCTTTTTCCGTTTATGTCTCATTTTCATTTATGTAGCGATGATCATGATCATCAATTTTCACAGCTTCCGTTAGGCGTTGTTGGGAGGAGTAGTTTGCGATCCATTGCTTGATGGGCAGCATTGGCTATTGTCATTACGTGCTGATGTAGAAGATTTTTAATGTCACTAATCCGTCTTCTGCTGGGGCGGCGTCTTGCTTTTAGTTCAGATCCTTTCTTTTGTTCGTGCAGAGTGGCATGCTTTGCTGCGGAGGACACAGGTGAGAAGTATTGTCTGGATTTTTTCACTGGGAATGCCGGTGTGTTGGAAAATGAACAGCCTGACAGACTGGCTGGCTCTGCACAACTTGGTGGAATACTGATACATGATAAGACAGTCGTGGTTAGTGCCTTGTGGGAGAGCGTTTTCAGTTTCGAGGAGCAGATGGATCACCACAGTGTGGTGAGATTGATGCAGTTGGGGGTGACGGGAGGTTCTGGCAGATGCTCGAGGCTCAGGGGAAAGGCAAGACGGATGTTTAATCAGAATGCTACTGGCACCATTAGTATCGGAACTCTTCGCTGGCTGCTGAAGATGGGGACGGAGCGCTTATGGGAATGCCCCGAGTGCTGTGATGTCGGTTCTTGAATCAAATCAAATCAAATCAAATCTTTTCTTTTTTAGCAACTGCGTTGGTGTTGTTCTGGCCGCATTCTTACCCAATGACTAAACCATGTTATCTTCTATTTCTCAATGAATTTGCTGCATGGTGTTGTTCCTACAGTCTGTCTGATAATATCATTTCTAACTTTGTCTCGGATGGTTAAATCGGCTGCTTTTCTCAAGCATCTAATTTTGCAGGTGTTAATTTTACATAGGTTAGCCTTTGATAATGTCCAAGTCTTGCACTGGTAGCACAGTGTTGCTACTGGTAAGTCGTGTTCAGTACAAATAATTGTGAGTCTTTTCATCTGCTCAGTAGAATGGAATTTATGGGTACAAGTTATGAGTTCTAATTACGATGGTACCAGTAACATTATGATTGTATGTCCCTCTCGCCTCTCCTCTGAGTTTTGAGCGTCAGCTAGTTTTCCCATGTCATTCCTTGCACCATTCTCTTCAGATCGTGAAAATGTTGTGCTTCCGCACAAAAAGCCCTTACAACATCTAGCTCGTCATGAATCATTTACCACTTATTAGTGCAGAACAGTCAGTCTATCTGCTTGTTCGTTTCCCAACACATCGGCACAGCCTGGATAAAATATCCGAGGAATATTAATTACCGGGGATGTCAGAAGCAATGCTTGTTATTTTGTGCAGAGTTTACCTCTCCCCACCTTTCTCAACATGCTCTTTGAATCAGTTACAATCATATGTGTCTGCAGGTGGTTCTCAAACCCTCTTGAACCAGGTTAATGGGAAGGTCAAGGACTGAGGCAGAGAGAGACCAAGAGAGAAAATGCTGGACAGTTTCACGTCATGATGCAGAAGATTTGTTTCGGAAAAGATTAAAAGTATACGAGGCAGAAGGTTTGGGTAGACAGAACTACCCATGCCATCCGACACGGACTATAAGTAGAAGAAGTTGTCCCTGATTAGACACATCTTGTCAAGGAATGGTCTCGAGCAATGTGGGCTGTTAGGTTCTGTGTCACAATAGTTGGGGGAATGCAGGTCACAATATTTTCTGGGTTGTCTTTGTTGACCTGCTACTTCCATTCAGGTAGCCTTACATGCTAGACTCACAAACTAAAAGATCAGCTCCGGGATGATAAGTCGCAGTACTGAGTTCCCATACATAGGGTAAGATGGGAAGAAAAAATATCGATGTCTCCAAGATGAAATAATAATAATAAAAAAAAGACGCATTTCCATTGTTGTTGTTGTAGTACTACTAGTACTACTAGCAGTAGCAGCAGCAGCAGCAGTAGTCGTAGTAGTTAGCAGCATCAGCAGTGTGAGAAAGAAGAGTATAGTTAGTCGAGGTTTCAACATCACGCAATCGGGTTTCCCCTTACTTGCTCCGTCCCTCTGCCAGTGCAAATCAAATGAAACGTCCCTAAGTGTCGCAAATAAAAATCTGGTGAATAAATAACTAGTTCCAGAATAATCCAGTAAATGCGTATTTCAGCTGCTGGAGGCGCCAAAGCCAACAATCGTCACCAGAAATGCAGTTTGTCGTTGATGGAAACAGTTAATTTGTATGTGCTGATGAAGGCTCAATAGCCGCAACGTTCACTTTTTGTTTGAATTGGTTATATTGTGAAGCTTGCTAATATACTTTGCGTTCGGGTTTATATCTTTTCTGGAAACAATTAGGCACGATAAGTTGGTTACAATACACACGTAACATTTTTACATAAGGTATTTCACCAGCTCAAACGTGAACCTGCCACCGACCATATTGAACAAAACGACACAACACATGCAGAAGAGTATAGAAAAAGACGAAGAACAAGAGAAAGATCAAAATTGGAAGCAATAAGGAGGGGGAAATTACAAATGCATTTAGTCAAAATTTCTTATTTGGAACTATACGTACAATCATCGTAGACTTACTACCACCTGGTTAGCAGGACGTAACAGAGTAAAAAAGTAAAGTAAAGGACCCTTTCCCCGCCATCAGGCGTATAGGGCATATAGGGCTAGACCTATATTTTTATAGACCAATCGGCACACAATGGGTGATGTGGTCAGCATCACTCCGACCGCCTTTACTTTCCCGTGGCTGCACCCGGTACCCACTCAAGGCTGGGTCGACCTGGGAGCCAAGGCCATTTTTGAAAAAAAGTCCTGCTCCGCCAGGGAGCGAACCCACGACCTCCCGATTCGCGACGAGCTTCTAGCAGCTCGGCCACGGCGACTCCCCAGGACGTAACAGAATCAATGTTATAAAGAACGACATCTTCTTCTGCTTATTTCGTTCGCCTGAAATAGGTTATCAATATCAGCAATTTTGTGTTGCACAGTATATGAACATGTAAAATTTTGAAACAATATGTTCTGCAGTGCTGCAAGTGGTATAGATACTTTTCAATTTTCCAAAGATAACTTTGAGTTTTGTTGTGATTATGATGGCATTTTCCAAAGATAACTTTGAGCTCTGTTGTGATTATGATGGCATTTCCCATAGATAACTTTGAGCTCTGTTGTGCTTATGATTGCATTTTCCAAAGATAACTTTGACTTCTGTTGTGATTATGATGGCATTTTCCAAAGATAACTTACAGCTCTGTTGTGATTATGATGGCCTTTTCTAAAAAAAACTTTTAGCTCTGTTGTGATTATGATGGCATGTCTCGAAGATAACTTTGACCTATGTTATGATTATGATGGCATTTCCCAATGATAACTTTGAGCTCTGTTGTGATTATGTTGTCATTTCCCAAAGATAACTTTGAGCTCTGTTGTGATTATGATGGCTCTTATACAGGTCCTGTGGCAGCAGGCATCGTTGGGCTCAAGATGCCAAGGTACCTTCTCTTTGGAGACACCGTGAACATGGCAGCCAGAATGCAATCTACAAGCAAACGTGAGTTTATTATTCTTCACGATTTAGTCTCTCGTGGATAACGTAAACTTATATATTGAGACATCATGGCCAAGATAAAACTCTGGTACATGCAATATATTCCTTGTCATTTTCTTGTGCACGTAAAATGTTCCGCTGTATATTCGTTGTGTATTCGTGTGATTTTGTTTTATTTATGTAAAGGCTGATGAAGGTTCTGTAGCCGCAACGTTTACTTGTCGTTTGTGTTTGTTATATTGTGAAGCTCGTTAATGTTTTTTTTTTTTTTTTTTTTTTTTTTTTGGTTTTATATATTTCCATGAAGATTCTGTTGGAGTTACAAAAGACAAACTCTAAGAAGAAGATGTTAAATTTTGAGAAATCCTGCATAGATTCTTGTGCATCTTCTTGAGCTGTTTGCATTACAGCTGAAGTTTGTCAGTTCATCTTTGCTGTTCTCGTTTTTTCATTTGATTAAATACAAAAAGGTCTCTTGGAATTTGGTGCTTTGGTAATATCCTAGCTGCACTCTCTCGTGGGACGTAAGTGGGTTGGGGTTAGGGCTAGTTCTAGATGTTTTGGGGTCGTTAAAAGCATCAGAAAGCCGGGAAACCCAGTCTTACCACCCTCTAAAATGTCGGACTGTCCTGTGACGTAATCTGGGTTAGGATAATATTACAGTCTTTTCTTCTCCTCTTTGTCTATATTACCTGAGCGAGTGCATCTGCTTTCAATAACTCTGAGATCATCCAGATAATATCCGTTTATAATTCTACACACTTGAGTTGTTGTCCCTCTCTAATACATAGTTCAAACGTTCCAATAACATATTTTAAAGATGTCTCTCGAGTTTAGCAAGTTTCAACGAAGCATCATAACATTTAGAGCTAGAAGTGTGACTCTAAAGCAAAGGAGGTTTTGCCTAGGCGGCTTGTCGGGTCGTCGATCAACAGTCTTAAGCCACCCTAGAGGGAATCATGTCCTGCGACCTCGGACCAACCTTTAACCGTATTGCTGCATGCATTTTAGGAAATTGTTATCGTTGTCGTTGTTGTTGTTGTTGTTGCAGCAACAACATTCGCTTGACCTGGCTGTGGAATATATTTTGTGAACTCCCGTCGTTTCTGAAATATTCGTAGCTTGTCTGTTAAGGATGTCTCCAACACACATTTGCTGCCTTTCGTTGCCTGCAGCCCTCGAACACTGTCCACTGGTCAACAGCCTTCACATGAAAGAAACTGAAACAACACCAGTCTTTTAGCTTCTCTGAACGGATTTAGGATAAACCCAGACATTTCCTTAACTGCCAAAAACTGACCCTATGCATCATGGTCCAAGAAGTACGTGGTATTTATTCATGGGCCAGTGCTTATAACATGACTGACTGACTGACTTTCTACCCCACCACACAAGCAATAAACACCCGATGACACAATGTGCCACCATAATTATGGCTAGGCTATATTGCGGCCCCTGGCAAGAGCCAGAGTAGGGCTTCAAATAACGAAAAATTTCATACTAAAAATGACGAGAAGCAATGCATCATTTGAAGGACACAGTTATGGGCGGTGTGGCACGATCGGGTTTCAAAGGAACGCTCCCAGTATTAGTAATGAAATAATAGCAACAGCAGTAGTAAGAACAGCAATCATAGTAGTAAACACAGAAGGTGTCTGCAAGGTGTGGCGATACCTGGCACTGTAGTCCTGTAGTCAGCAGTGTTGAGGGGAGGGGGGGGGCAGTGAGATCTTCAAGGAGGGTGAAAAGCGAATTTAGTAACCTGCTGCTGTCATGTGATCGCACAAGCCAACCCCACCACCTTGTGGTGCAGACACTGGAAACTGTATCAGTGAGGATACAGGCTAACGGGCAAATGGCCACCTGGAGAGGATGGACCCCGCTAGGGTCGAAATACTGTCCAGGACGCGCCTTGTTGACTGAGAGATTAGACAGTGAAAAGGTAGGTATGCAGTCAGATCTATCAGCCTCTTAAAAACAATACTTTAGGGCTCACTAGAGGGGAAAGAAGAAGAGGCAGACAAAGAAAGACTTGGATACAGAACTTGACTGGCGGGACAGGACTTAGGCATGCAACCATGAAGCCTAAGGGATGTGATTGCCAAAGGTGGAGTGAGCTGATCAGACAGTCAACAGCAGCTGGCGACCAAACGACACGCATTGTTAAGAGATGATTTGATTTAAAAAAAAAAAAGGGGGGGGGGGGGCTAATTCCTTTGTGTTCTCTACGGATTATAGTTCACCCCCCCCCCCCCCCCCCCCACACACGTCAAGAAATGTTTATGATTCAGAACGGGAAAGATCAGTGGAAAGAGGACCAGAGGCAGACAAAGAGAGATGATGCTGGATGGGCTGAAACGATTGCATGGATGGGTATCATCATGAAAGCTGCTCTAGGCAACGAGGGATCTTGATCTGTGATGCATGAGCACCTACGCCAGCTGGCAGGGCAAATTTTGATGATGATGATGATGATGTTCTGACTCCCTCAGTACCTCCCCAGTGTTATGACAGCCTTAGACAGGTAATGATAATCTACTGGTGTATTCGACCATTCTTTTCCGTGACTGATCTCGTCTAGATCACATACTTGCTGCATTAAATTTGCTCCCTCTTCCATCCAAGAGGAGTATCTTTTGAGACGCATTCCTTTTATATCATTGATAGTGTTGTGCAGTGGGTGGTTGATAGCTGCTGATATCATCATATACGCTTTCATCTGTGGCACTTTATTTCTGGTTGCCATCGTCGGTAAACCCAGGACATACCGCATGACATGGTATGATGTATCTTTCATGTAGCCTAGTGGATGATGTGGTCAGCATAAAGCCGGCGGCCTTTATTTCCCATGACGTTATCTGGCACCCATTAAAGGCTAGGTCGACCAATGATAATTTTGTTAATATCCAGCACCGTCACTACCCGAACCCACGGCCTTTCGTTTTGCAGGCGAGCTTCTAGCCGCTACACGGCAGCGACTGACGTCACTACTAGTGCCCACATATTCAAGTTGTCCAAAAGGGAAACAAACAACAATGTGAATCACATCGCTTCTACAATTAGGTATAACTAGTATATATATATATATATAAATTCTCTCCAAAGCTCAATGTATCCATCTGTCAGAGACCAGCGCTACATTACTTAACAGCAAAACAGGATACAGGCTGGAGCAGCGAGAAGCAGTGGAGATAAAAGTAAGCTCAAACAGTCATTAACATTAGAACATACTCTGTGAGTGTCAGATGGAGATTCATCATCGTCGTGGTCGTCGTCATCATCGTCATTATAATCAACATCATCATCATCATCGTCATTATCATCTTCATCATTTTTCTCATCATCTTTATCATCATCAACACCGCCCAGTCTATGCGCCGATGACCATATCCTGGTATATATATTTAAAGAATTTAAATATATAGTAAGTAAGCTCTTGAAGGATGGAAGAATAGATCTGGAAATAGAAACAAGCCAACGAGCCAGTTCACGTATATACAAACTGACACCGTTATTAAGCCATATAAACAAAAGTATAAGCGCTAAGAAACAGATTATAAACAGCATACACATACCAGCACTGTGCAACTAGTCCCATGTTAGTAACGTATCCTTTACAGGACGTTGCAGAACCAACCCCAAGGTTTTTCTAGGCAAATTTACGTCCAGTAGTTTGCTACTGGACGGTCGGTCTTCTTGATACCACTGTCAAAACCAACGCAAGGCACATAACCCGCAGCTGGAATCGAACCCGGCATCCCGGCATTACGAAGCGTTCGCATCGACTTAGCCACAGAGCCGACTACTAGTCCCAGACGTGGACATTATCAAAGACTGACCTACTTATCATTACCACCTGTGAAATAAGATGTCTGAGAAAAACGACAATTTTAACCACTCGAGTTAGAAATGATATTATCAGAATGTATGAACAACACCGTGCAGCCGATTTACTGAGAAATTGGAGATCAAATGATTTGGTCATCTATTAGGAATGCAAGCAGAAAAAACCCCAAATGCAGGCGCTAAACATGAAAAGATCTCATCAAGAGGTCATGTTAGGAGAAGATGGAATGATGAGACACTAAAGTGCTTCCACATCGACACGGAATAAAATTGGCTGTTGCTGCTCATCAAACAGTGGATCGCAAAATATTCCTCCACACGCTACTCAACGGCAAAAGTGAATATTGATGATAATGAGGTCGATGAACTCTTTCAATATGGTAGAGGAAATCCATTCCCGCTCTTTGGCTTCTCTAATCAACGATCCTTTTATTGTGTCTTTTGACTGTTCTCGTTTAATCGAGCCAATTGTTTCCCTTTTCAGTGCCTGTTTGATGATTGTTTGTTCGCTTCTCCACAGTACATGCTGAATATATCACAACTTTTGTGTCTTATAACTACTGATACCAGAAATTGTCCTGTCATAAGTCAAAGAATAGAAGCATATTTCACTAAACGTTTTTTATAAAGACCTAAGCTGTGGACCTGTGAAGGAGAAAAAGAAGGGGGAAAAAGGAGAAGAAGTAGAAGAAGAAAATGAAGAAGAAGAAGAACCAAAGACACACACACACACACACACACACACACACACAGAGAGAGAGAGAGAGAGAAAGAGAGAGAGGAGAGAGAGATAGAGAGAAAGAGAGAAAACAGGATGTTTACCAGATATGGCGGGGGAAAAAAGAACGTTAACTATTTATTTTGTCCCTAGTCAGGTCTGATGTCTAGACATATCTGCTATCACAGATACAACACCCAACTGTTTCCCCTCTATCTGTTCCAGGGCAAAGGAGTCATGCAGACATATTGGCTTTTGGAGAAGACGACGTTACGAAACTCGCACAGAGTGGCTAGAACAAATGTCTCTTAGAGCTTTCACAGTTACCTCATGTTTGCATCTGTTTTTTGAGCTGCTTTTCATGTTGTCATTTTGAGTAATGTAAGCACTGTTGCATCTCTTTTAAAATTTGATTGAAGGCTACGCTCTGATCTCCAAGCATTGATTGAAAGCTAGGCTGTGATCTCCAAGCATTGATTGAATGCTACGCTCTGATCTCCAAGCATTGATTGAAGGCTACGCTCTGATCTCCAAGCATTGATTGAAGGCTACGCTCTGATCTCCAAGCATTGATTGAAGGCTACGCTCTGATCTCCAAGCATTGATTGAAGGCTACGCTCTGATCTCCAAGCATTGATTGAAGGCTACGCTCTGATCTCCAAGCATTGAATGAAGGCTACGCTCTGATCTCCAAGCATTGATTGAAGGCCACGCTCTGATTCCGAAACATTGATTGAAGGCTACGCTCTGATCTCTAAGCATTGATTGAAAGCTAGGCTGTGATCTCCAAGCATTGATTGAAGGCTACGCTCTGATCTCCAAGCGTTGATTGAAGGCTACGCTCTGATCTCCAAGCATTGATTGAAGGCTACTCTCTGATCTCCAAGCATTGAATGAAGGCTACGCTCTGATCACCAAGTATTGATTGAAGGCTACGCTCTGATCTCCAAGCATTGATTGAAGGCTACTCTCTGATCTCCAAGCATTGAATGAAGGCTTCGCTCTGATCTCCAAGCATTGATTGAAAGCTAGGCTGTGATCTCCAAGCATTGAATGAAGGCTACGCTCTGATCTCCAAGCGTTGATTGAAGGCTACGCTCTGATCTCCAAGCATTGATTGAAAGCTAGGCTGTGATCTCCAAGCATTGAATGAAGGCTACGCTCTGATCTCCAAGCGTTGATTGAAGGCTACGCTCTGATCTCCAAGCGTTGATTGAAGGCTACTCTCTGATCTCCAAGCATTCGCAATTGAAGTCACGCTAACGAAGTGAGCGTCCGACAGCTATGTCGCCGGTAAACGAAGGCTACAATAAACATTAGAGGCCACCCCAGTTCTGTGTATTTGTTGATTTCTATATAGTTCTCAGGAGATAGACCCAGCCAAACCCTCCCCAGACAGCAACCTTCGAACCATGTATCAAACACAAACATTGTATGTGTTAAAGTTAAGGTTTATCAAGAATGCTCAACAAAAATACTAGCACAGTTTCATTATAAGCCGAATTGACCATACTAGGTAATTTCTCCATGATTTATAGTTACTGTATAGTATATTCATTTTTTCCTTAAACATATTTTATGATCTTTAGCGTATAACAAAAGTTGTATATACATATGAACACACATTATAGAATATAGAATATATTTCTTCATAAACCTTGATTTTATCCTTGGAAATTTAATGTTTGTTGAAAATTTTAATGAACAATAAATTTGTAACATTATTATCGAACTTAAAACTAACAAATTATACAGTTATTTAGCTTATTAATTCAGGAGGAGGAGGGGAGAGGATTAAAAACTACTAAGTTAATTGCTTTTGACCAAAGGATTTAATCGTGGCAATATATATAAAATATAATATTATGTTCTGCATTTTATAATGTTGTTAATTATGTTTATTATATGATATCCTTCTATAACAGTCTAATTTGCATAATACAATTTTTAACAGTATTATCGAATTTGAAATCAACACAGTTTGTTGTTGCCAACGCTGGATCTGTTTCAGGACACACAATGTTTGTTGTAGGCAACGCTATATCTGTTTCAGGACACACAATGTTTATTGTAGGCAACGCTAGATCTGTTTCAGGACACACAATGTTTGTTGTAGGCAACGCTAGATCTGTTTCAGGACACACAATGTTTTTTGTAGGCAACGCTAGATCTGTTTTAGGACACACAATGTTTATTGTAGGCAACGCTAGATCTGTTTCAGGACACACAATATTTGTTGTAGGCAACGCTAGATCTGTTTTAGGACACACAATGTTTATTGTAGGCAACGCTAGGTCTCTTGTAGGACACACGATGTTTGTTGTAGGCAACGCTAGATCAGATGGAAAAAAATTAAAGACCTAAAAGCATGCATTTTAGAGTACAGAAGAAAGTTAAATATTTCATATGCAGCCACTAAATTCTAAGTTAGAAACTACCTTTTTTCCTCTAGAAAATATTCCACCCTTTAGGTGTATAGGGCATATAGGGCTAGACCTATATGAAAAACATATAATTCGATAAAAATATTGCAAATTAAAAAAATAGTTTAATTTGTGTATACATCTCCTTGATAAAAACTGTGAAGACAGAGCAGCCCCTTGACTTGCACCACATCAGGAATCCTCGTTGACCTAATTGGCCTACAAATGGAGTCGGCCGTGATTTGATTTATGTCGCCTGCAACGTGTCTATCATGTTACCTATGTGTAACTGACCAAAATACACGATGGTTTATTTTATATTGGCACATTTAAATGTACCAGCCAAATATTGAGGTAGTTAAGTTTTAAGACATAATTTAAAAAAATAAACGTACCAAGAAAACGCTTATATAAAGCCATGCTTTTGAACTTACTGCATTCTATTAAATCACCCTTCACGGCTATACATTTTTAATGTTACGACAAATGTGGACTTGAAATATATGCAGGCTTTGTGTTGTATATAAATCATGGAATGTTTAATTTCAATAATAATTCACTCAACTGAGTAATGTGCATTAGTCAGAGAAAACTATTTCACTGTTTTTATTTCCCATATTGTTTTCTCTTTGCGTGTTGTTGTTTATTTGTATTCTCTGTCATAGAGAGCCTTACAAAACACAAAAAACTGAAAACGGGTACGGGAGTACTATACGATGTCATTAGTCGAGACCGCAGGAAAGCCACAAGCAGAACCTAATATCTCCCTCGACAACCGCAGCGGTAAAAGAGGAACTGAAGAAGAAGAAGAAGATATCTACTCTTAAATGGTTTCCAACTTTGAACACTTTTTTTCACTAAGATTTTCGCTAATCACCAAACTATCAAGCTTTAATACTTATAATATTTAGTGTTATTACAGGAAGACTTTGAGACCGCTAGTCACACTCTAAATGTTTCACAATTTCAGATCTACCCAAGCCCAAAAAACTGTTTTCTGTATTTTTATAGGAAAAGTAAAAAACTCACACTTTTAAAACTATAAACGGTTGACGAGCTCGCTCTTTTACGAGATGCGCATGGCCAAAATAGAAAAAAAAAAAAAAAAACCAGGAAAGAAGAGGAAACATAACGTATAAAATGGCAAGAGAAATACATCCAGAAAGAGCAAAGGATCGAGCGGTCTGTCTTGGAAGGACGGATGATTAGGCAACAGAGCTGGCGCAAATACCAGAACTTTAGCCACGAAAGTGGCGCAAGTAACCAAGACCACAAATATAACTGAAGACTGTTGTCAGCTTCGGCTAGCTGACAGCAGGTTAAACGTGGTCGGGCTTTATGTGTGTGTGTGTGTGTGTGTGTGTGTGTGTGTGTGTCTGTGTCTGTGTCTGTTTGTGTAAAAAGGAATCGAAATCGGAGAAATGTAATGAACAGAAGGATGAGATATCCAGCAACATTTAAAAAAACACGCCAACAGGAGCTGCTGTATGCACCTTTGATACACATAGAGCCTGAGAGATTTATTAAAGTACTTATTAATGCGACAGGATAGTGATTATTTGCTTGCTTACAGAACCTCCGGCCGTGTTAAAGTTCTTGGTAATTGGAGTTCATAATTGTTTGAAGAGTATCCTGGATAGAAAAAGCAGCTCGAAATGCAAAACCGACACCAGCATTTTTTGGCTGATGTGGTTTTTCCAGGGACATTTTCAGTGCAGTAGTTTTCCATTGCTTGCTGAACGCTGTCTACCAGGGCTAGGATCGAAGCGTGGTCCACGGCATTACAAAGCGCGTTCGCAACTCTTAAGCCGCAGCCGTTGACTCTTTATAATACACGTTACAGTAATGAGGCACATCTAAGCGTACCTGTCAAAAATATTGATGTTTAAAGTAGAGCCAGATATTATCACAGTGTGGAAATCCACAGTGCTCCCCGTGCAGATGCTACAATTTTGCTATTTGACGATATCCTTCAAGCAACGTCGACAATTTTTATTTATTTATTTTATTTATCAATAAGATGTTTAACTCAGTTCTAAAGTCACTGTGTTGCTTGTTAGTACATGATGTGTCAATCCCGTGAAGCAATGAGATTGAATATTAAGGTAATCTACAACATTTAATTATCCCTATTGTTGTCTATCACCAACATATGTGTTATCGCTTGCATTCAAAAAGGCCCTATTGATTGTTGTATCCCTTGATTGGTGGAAACCATCTGATGCAAAAACCAAGTATAGCTGGTTCAGGTAAATGTAACCTTAAACTTGAGACATTATTTCCCACAAGCATCGATATAACAACAGTCAGTTTTCACAAATGTCCTTAATGTTTCAATGACATTGCAGTTTTGTATTTTTCAATGTTACAGGTTCAGTGGATCACATCGTCAGGTTTCCCCGAAATGTTTAGCATGTATTGTTGTTATTAGTTCTTCTAACGATATGTTTACTCTGCTGGCTTAAATCGTACATTTGTTGAAAGCTCATAGACGTATGGGAGCCGGGGTAGATTGATGGCCAGACTCTTGCCTTCTCGTCCGAATCTCTTTGTTTCAAATAAACATGGAGTCAGATTTTATTTCAAAACCACCTTGCAAGGTCGACCCATTCTAAATTATGTAACAGGAAATGCATTAGGAAGTGAAGTTACCAAAACTCAGAGACATGTTATTATAAAGAGATCACCTGCTCATCATTACATTTGTAGTCGTTCACCTGGTTATGTTTGCATAAGCTTGCCACAATGTCTCTCGCTCTCTCTCTCTCTTTTTTTTTTTTTTTCACGTGGGTTGCAAGACATGTAAATCACTACTGTAGTCCCCGTGTGGGTTCCGGGGCCCCATTGTGGGGAAAACAAGAATAGACCCACTGCCTCCCCAAAAGCATG